GGTTTCCTTTCTGGAAGAGACAGCTTTTCTGCCTGTCTTTGCCTTATTATCTTTATGCCTATCATAAAGATAACAAAGACTTTTGGGAAGATGTGGAAGTGTGTATTACTTCTGATTCTGTATAATTTTGGGAAGTTTGTCAGAAAAGTCATGCAGGTAGATAAATTACAAAGAGGATTCTCTAAAAACCTGGTGGCTCAGAAGCAGCATTCCCACCTGTTACTATTTACCTAAAAACTGATGGAATAGGTAAGTGAGAATTTTTGCTTTTATATGGAGAAAAATATTTAGCCCTCATAGTCTTAAAAGAAAAATTTTTTAAAAAGGGGAAATTAAAAAGAAAAATAGCCCAGGCTCAAGAATCTGAAGAAAGAATAAAGCAAATATGTTTTCCTGGTTAGACCTTGTAAAACTTTTAAAAGTACAGTACAAAATAAATTTGTGTGTGTCATTTGTTTTGACACTCCTTTCCCCCCCCACACCTGTGCTTGATACTAGTGATATCCTTAGAAGTTCCTTGGGTGAGCTGCAAGGAAAGTATGGGTGACAAGGACATCCTTGAGATGGTGTTTCCCAGTAATACTCTAGGGGACTTAATTTAGCTGAAAAGTGCTCTTATCTCAAGGAATTAAAATTATGTCTGAAGCAGGAAACTTCAAGGTTTTAACCAGAACATAGATTAAGGCCAGCAGAGCAGAAAGAAGATCTGGAACAGTAATAGTTTAGCTCTGAAAAACAGCTCCTGGAGAAGGTTATTCAAACAGTTCATCTGCAGCTAAAGTCAGACAGTATGGGAAGAGAAATGGAGTGTCAGGGATGCACATGTCAGCAGTGTGGGATTTACTGGCAGCAGAGGGCAGCCACATCCAGTGCTGTGCGGCCGGGAGGATCCATCCTGCCGGAGCTGAGTCTGCACTCGCGCGCTGCGACTCTCGCTCCAGCTCTGGGATTTTAAATGCTGTAGGCTGGTTGAATGCATGCTGCTTCTTGCTATCTGACTAAAATAGAAACACTGGGGGTTTTAGAAAATTTGATTTAATACAAATTGCAGAACTCTGTTAATTTCATGTTAATTTATGACTTTTTTTTGAGAACTACACACAAGTTTAAATTTGATCACCCTAATAATTGAGAGAGACCTTGAATAAATTCACGTCTCTTTAAAATCTGTGTGGAATGCAGAATGTGTATTACAGTAATTTCTCTTATGTACATAAGCAATTGGAAACCTTGGAGAAAATAGAAAAAGTTAAAAATTAGAATTTCACCTTGAATTGGTACTTTCAAGCCTCTAAGTTTGAAAGTAAGTGAAAGTCATAGCAATTTCTTATTTGACTTCTACAGTAATATACTGTTTTCCTAAATATTCTTTACTGTGTCTCTAATGCTGACAGTGAAACCCACCTTATAATGAGTTTTTTGCTACTGAATAATGAAAGCTCTACATGAGGCTGTATTTGTCTTCTTTCTTTTCATGTCTGGTTATTTTAAGAAAGTAAACAGCTTGGATGATAGAAAAGCATGGTGGAATTGGAAATTATTCAGGTGGCTCTAGTGATCCCTCTAGTGGAAGGTCTTCTAGTAGTGATTCACCATCATGATGTGCATTCATCTGAGCATCCAGGAAAAAAAGCTCTAATGATCTGGATCTGTCTTCATCATCTTTCAGAATACTAAGTTACTTCACTGTTGCCCTGATTCTTAAGTTTTTCTAAAGCCTTCTGAGCTTACATTCTGTTAGAAAACTTTCCTACATAATTTTTGTAAACAACATATTGTTTTGTATTCCTTTATAGGAGTAGAGAAACTTAATATACTCGTAGTTTGTCCAATGTCTTTGGAGAGGTGGCCCATTCACTCTCCAATCCACTGTCACCTTTGGAAAAGTATAAAAGTTGGAGTCAGAAAATAAACGCTCTTTTTTTACCTTGCAAAATAGCAAGTGGCTAGTGTTGTGCTTTCACGTGTCCTATAGCGACACTTCACCAATTTGCTGTATCTTTGATTTGCTTTCTTTGATTCTTGCCAGGTACCCTTGGCCTTGGCACCTTGATTTGATTGGAAGGGTGGAGGGAAGCAGGCAGGGAAAAGAAAGAGGATAGAAAAGAGCCTCGCTCTGTGTGTGTGAATTAGCCATCAGGTCATGCCTGACGGCCATTTGGAGTGACACTTTTGTGGAACAATATATCTCCTCTGTACAATTAATTGAAAACATCCTCCTGAGCACAGGTACATGTTCATGCCTGAAAGGACTATTGTTAAAATGTGAGTGAAAGAATTATTTGCAGCTAATAACATTCAGTAATGAAGTTTACATAGTGGAACTAATAAATAGAGAAATAATGTCTGAAAACCAAAAATCATACTGAGTTACTAAATTTCACATTTCCCATGTGACTGGAATTTCAGCAAAACTGCAATTTCTCAAAGCAAAATCAGATTCCAATTTTGGACTCAGGCTGAAAGCAGAGATAATAAGTATGTTGCAGTATTTAAGTAAAACCTCATATTTAAGGAAAGCAGAATTAGGAGTTCAGGGAATACCTGCACTTGTAAACAAGATGTTTTGGTAACAAAATAGTGTCTTACTTTGAGCCACTACATTTTGCTGTCTCTAAGCAGCATTATCCCAGCAACAGAAGAATTGGTGAAGCATGAAAAGGGGGAGAGCTTTGAGAGATTCTTGGACAAACATCCCCCAGAGCACGTGAGGACTTGGTACGCTGATTCCCTGGTACTTTTCTCATCATTTCCTCTAGGGGTGTAGGAATGTACTCCCTCATCCCATCTCTATTCAGCTAATAATGGCTTTGTTTTCCTCTCACTGACAGCTGCACTGTATTCCATTTCTAAATTGGGAGCGTAGGTAAGATTTCATGGCACTCTTCTCAACTGATGGCCATGCCCCTGGGTGTCACACTTGTCATCATGTAATCATGATACTGTTTGGCTTATAAAAACAAACTAGTTCCATAAATATTTAAAGCAAATGGTCTTTTTTTTTTTTTTTAACAGAAATCTGATTCTTGTTGACATTGCTGTTATCCCTTAAAAAAGTACTCTTCCAGATCCAGTAGAAAGCTGAAGAATTTCCATTCAATGCAGAATTGTCAGTCTCCTGTATTCAGTGTTCTTTCTCGAAGAAAGATACAATGATCTTGTATTTCTTTAAGCTGCCAGTATAATTGATTCCTCTAGGAGGGAGTATTCAAATAGTTTCTGCCTATGAATATGAAACACTGCAAATTCTAATTTTTTTTCCAAGTAGGAGAAAAACAAAAGACTAAGGTTTTTTTCCAGGATGATATTTGCAGCATTCAGACTGGTTTAAGAGGAGGGGATATAAACACCCAAGTACTGTGATATCGTATCACTTTTTGATTTCTACAAAGCAGATTGCCAGAGTGTTTTTTTACAAAGGTAGTGGTACATCCCATTAATAACGATAGCCTGCATAAACTGTGAGAAACAAAGGGTTTGAATTGCGTAAAACACATTCAGGCTTGCAGAAGTTTTGTGGCTTCCATCAAAATAGAAATAAGATTTCACAATGTAATGAATTCAGAGGAGCTTAAGAATAGCCAGCAGAGAAGGGGTTCACATGATCTGTGAGACTGGGTTGGATGGGGACCAGCCTTCTCCTGAGGTAGTGCTTCAACTCTTCAACAAAGGATGATGTGAACATGTGGAAATTCATGTTCTGTCTTGGACCTCAAGGTTTCTGTGGTTTGGGTTTGGTTTTACTTGCAAAAATGTGATTACAGTGTAGGTGTTCTTATGCAAAAAGAACAGTGTTCTTTTGCTGTACTATATGTTGTAGAAAGTGACTCTATTAACCTCAGGAGCTAAGCTGTGATTAAAGCTGTAACTGTTTTAAGCAAAACACTTGTGCCATAATAGAATGCACAATGATAGGCTGATTTTCTTTGTTGCATTGGAATAAAAAATTAAATGCATAGGGCTGGAGATGGAAATTTGCTTTTTTTGTCTTAGGAAGCAGTCAGGAAAGGTTTGCAAGATGGTGAATTGTAAAAATTATAAAATCTGTTTACTCTATAAGCTTAAGCTGTGTATGGAAGGAACTGGTCTAGGGATTTCTTTTGAGAGAAAAATATGTGGAGCAAAGTGTGGTGCTAAAACCAAAACTATTCATTAATGTCCTATTTCTCATCATTTTTTTTCCATAAAATAACTAGCATGGAACTGGCATGGGAACTGGTTTTACGGATACTTCTCATGAAGTTGTATGAGAAGTGAAGCTCTTGAAACTTGTGATTAAAAAAAAAAAAGGGGGGAGCACTGGCTATGCAAAAACCCTCTCCTTATCAATTGCCAAGTAACTATTAATCCTTTGAAGACTTTATTTTTTCTATAAGATCTTCAGGGATCTGTGTAGCAGTGGGAGTCCAGTTTCCTGTAAGAACCAGTGCGAGATTAAGGTATACAGCATCAGTTGACTGGTCTTTCTTTTTTTCTGCCTGAAAGTCAAATTTAGGCTTTTATGAGGGACAGACTGCAGAAAATGAAAAAGGTGAGGTTTTTAAATAAACACCTTGTCATTACTGCTCTCTGGGGTATGTGGGATTTGGTGTATCTCCACTACTGTACTAGCATATGTAGTTTTGGTAAAATAAAAGACAATAAGTTGTAAAATAAAAGCAATTTTATCTCCAGCTGCAGTATTTCTGGAAGGATATGTGTTTAAAAATTAAAAATAAAAAATTATAGCTTGTCCTTTGTAGAGATACAAACAACAAATGCAAAAACTGGACAACAGCACTGACTATTCTCTAGTTACAAATTAATAGGAAGCAGTGTCAGGGTTCCACAAAGACTTTCCCAGATGTGCTTTAAATGCGTGGAATCTACACATTTGCTACTCTCCAAGGATTCAGAAGCAAATTAAATTTGGGCTCTCTGTTACCTGTGTATGGAGGGTGGCAAGGCACCTTTCATGATACTCAATACTAATGCTTATTAGTGCCATCAGTTTTACTTACACAAATGCATCTTACTTCCCATGCTTTCAGGTCACCATACTCTTTCTGTGGAACAAAGTTTAAAAATGCTTGTTTAAATTTCTCCAGGCCTCCATTGCAAGTATTCAGTTGCCAGAGCTTCAATAGGAATACATTAAATATTTCAGATAGTGGAAAATTCAGTGTTACTAGTTCAGTCATCTTCCTGCAAAAGGAGGAAAAATACAGTAGATGCATAATGTTGCTCTTACTGACAGACTGGATTTGTAATGTAGTGTAAGATCATGTGTTGTACCATGTATGACATGCAGTAATGCTTTTTGTGCATGCACTGGTACCCCACAGTGTATGCTTTTTATTTATTTATTTATTAAATTTAGATTCTGAAATAAAATAATCTGTAAGTGGGCCCAGTCCTTTTCGGTTTCGAATAAGGAAAGAATAAGGAAGTAGGGAATTCTTAGTGTTCAGAAAGCGTTCATTCCCTTTGCTGTCACTTTACAAAAATAAACTTGCAAAGAGATTGCAGCAACTAAAGGATCAGTAATGAATAATAGATTCTTCTTTCCCCAGTCTCTAGTATCTACATACAGTGAGCACATCAGTGCCTTGAAGACAACAATTTGTTTTGCATCTCTACATTGTAGCCTTCTTTTCATCAAGCCTTGGGAAATGTGGCATCTGCATTCTGCTGGTGGAGTTCTCTCTCTGTCAGGCTTATTAGGCCTGACCTTCATTGGGTGGGATTTACAGTTGCCCCATTCTCTTTACACACATTCTCCTGGAAATGGTGTTATTGGCAGGAAATGTTACAATATCTGTATCCTACTTTAAAAAGGTGGGGACAAAGAGTTCTGTCAGCAGCTTCATTTATACTTAAACCTTTGTGACTGTATTGAATTCTGCAATAAGCTTTAATCAGGAACAACATATACAACAATACTACTACTAATATAATGCTTAATATTCTGTGGTGGTTTTTCACTCACCAGTTTGTCCAGCATTCTGTTTTAACTGATGTTCATAATGTCTTTCTTGCACAGCTATGGTAATGTTGACAGTTGCTTATTAAGCTTTTCCTCCTAGAAATAGCTTTTGGTTGTACATGGCAGTGTTCTAAGCTGCTTTTGTGTTGGCTGTAGTTTAGCTGCCAGTCATTCAAAGTAATTTTTTATTCTCTGTGTCTTCTGACTTATGTGAAATATGTTTTCTAATATGCATTAATTTGTCTTGTAAAACTGAACTTTCATTGTTTCTTAGCAAAAGATTTCATCTTTTATGGTTCAGTTTAGCTCCTATTTGGAAGGATCATTTAGATTTTTAATCAGTAAAATGCAAATTAGAATTGAGCATGTTTTAATTTGTTTTCCTTTCCCTCAGAAATACTTCCTGAGAAATACAAAATTCTACCATAAGGAATTATCGATGTGTATTTTGAATGAAGCTGATGGGGAAATTACATTTGTATGGCTACTGCATGCAATGTAAACCAACTTACTTCTTATTTTTGTAGATACACAAGAAGTTTGTTTAGGTTCCATGCTCTGTCCTGGATTTGCTTTGTGCCCTTGTATATCAATAGCTTCCTTTGTTTGCTGCTTTATTTCTTTCTGTAAAATGGAAGACCTGTAGCATGGTATCAGGAGAAATATATAGAATATTCTCAATTGCCTTAATACTGTCATTACTGGAGTGAAATGCAAGCATACTGCCTGTGGTAGCAGTCTGCTACTAGTATCTGAAATGATAGCAAGAACAGAAATTTAATACGTTATATAAATTATATATATTTCCATCCAATATCTGATACTAGAGTGAGATGTTTATGATGAACAAATAGACAATTTATTTGCAGACATGGTGTGCTACTCATGCTCTTTCCTTCATCTAGGTAGGGTACATGCCCTCCATATGTGACTGATTCTTTGTGTCTTTAACCAGAACTGAGTAATCAAAGCCAGGCTTGTTAAAAATTGTGCAAATTAGTTCACCAAGCAAGTGTTAAGCACACACACCAATTAAAAGAATGTTCTAGACAACAACTTCACATTTTTGGAAGTTGAATAGGTTGGGTACTTTGCTCTAGCTGAAATTATAATTTCTTTCCTGTGAACATGTGTGTTGGTGGGAATCAGTCTGATTGAAACAACATACCAGTAAAGTTGTTTTCCTGCTTTCAGAAACCTCTCAAGAAAATAATTTAATTTAACATGGTATTTTGCTTTGTACTTGATTCATTTATTTTTTATTAAAAGGCAGTCTCTTTAAAAACCTGAAATGTTCTCCTCTCTGCAAATGATGCAAGCATCATTAAGCCCCATTAAAATAATTCTGTTTAGAATAAGTCTTCAAAACAACTGAAAATGGAAGCAGAAGAAGAAACTGATTAGTGTACCATGCAGTGTTTGAATGTGTCTGTAAACCAATACATCATATTCTGCTGGAAAAGCATGCTTTTAGTTGTGGATGATGTCCTCTGCTAGGTTTGTGTAGAGCCATTTGGAAGATGCCTGTGCTGTTAAACAAAAGCCTACCTCAGTCTCCTTGAAGGATAATAAATTACATCCACAAGCAGCAGCGAAATTGCCTGCTAGATTACCTTGTGCTGATCCCTGATGATGCAGACAGTAAGAGCCCACTGATTGTGCCTGGGCTGATTGCAGCTGAGTAAAGAATTTCTGTGTATTGCTTGCTTTGATGTCTGCTTGGTCCTCCCTCCCAAACACACATGAGCTGCTTCTACCAAGATTGGAGGTACCTAGGCTAAAATTGGTCCAACAGGAGCTTGGTATGGGAAACAGGGAAAATTGTGCAGAATTTATCCCTCAAGAGATGGAGTAGGGTATTCCCTCAGTGTCCTGCATAGGTTTCCCCTCTTCTCAGTTACAAATGAGAACAAAATATGAAGAAACTGAATAGGGCATTTTAATTCAGTTGTACAGGGAAGAAATGTAAGGGAGGAATATCATAATGACTGAAGGAAATGCAGAACTGTGGTGAGATCTGAAATCTTCACTCCTCTGGTTTAATCTTATATATGCAAAAGGGAAGGGGGAGGAGCAGGTGGGTGTTTGGGAAGTGAAGAGTGGAAAAGAGTCCAGACAGACATTAAGATACTGGTTTGTGTATGGAAAATGTTTTGGAAGAAGGCTCCTATCACTCGTGCTCTTGTGGTGTCAGGCCAGCCAGCTCCAAATTGTGCATGGCCTAAACCCAGTACAGGAATAGCATAAGTGCCCAGCTCTCTATGAAAATCTGTTTTGGAAAAATTGTATTAATGCCTGAATCACAGTTTCCTTGGAGGCTCATGGTCTCAGACTTGAAGTGGTCTAAACTGTTTTCATGTCATGCATCTTGCTGTTACGGTACCTGATGGGATTTAGAAGCAGCTGGAATTTGTCCCGTGCTGCATCTCTCTGCATATTATAGTTTGCAGCAAACCATAGGGGTTTAGAGGAGGGCTAATACCAGTCTAGTCTTTCTGTTAAGTTTCATTATGCTGAAAAACACCATAATTTTTCTAGCCAATTTTTTTTTTTTTCCCTGTTTTGTGTTTTTCATCACCACCACCAACCAACAGAGTGTAGAACCAAAGCTGATCACTGCTCATATGATGCAAGGCATCAAAACACCGCTGGCTTAAGGAGGTCAAATATTTTTAGAGTATGCTAGTGGCTCCTGCAGCAAATTAATGAGTCCACACAGAATAAAAATTGCAAATAATTGCTGATTAACCAGAACACAAATAAAGACTAAAGATCTCTGTGTAATAGTAAACAATATTTTGTTAGGTCAGACGAGTGCCAGGTTCCAGTGGTCACCTCCATAAAACAGAAGATGGGGACTGGGAATGGAGTGATGATGAAATGGATGAGAAGAGTGAGGAAGGCAAAGCTGCTATTTCTCAGGAAAAGGTATATTGTGTTTGTGCCAAGACATTTATACTCTAAAAGACATTCTGTCTTTATGTTAATTGTTAGTATTTCTGGATCTTTGTTGCATAAAGCTGCATAGCTCATATCTCACTGCGTTTGTTTTCCAGTCACGAAGACTGAAAGAGGAGGAGAACGCAGAGGTAAAAATGTCTTTATCAATATTTTTTTTTCTTCTAAGCATTTGAGTAAAGGGATTTCTTTTTCATGTCTGCTGTTAAAAATGTGAATTCAAGTGGGAGTATTGTTCTGCAGCCTTGTATGGCAAGTGCTTGTGAGGATAGAGCTGTTATGCCATTGTGCCTGTAACAATGAACTTCAGCACACAGTGGATAAGATGGATAGGAATTTAAAAGTCATGTTATGTTTGTACCCAGGAGAATTAATGAAGATAGGTAATTTGGCTGTTTTTAATGAATCTTTGTAACTAGATCACACTAATTGCTGCCTGTAAGGGTAATGAAGGCTGTGTTGGAGTAACCGGAACATCTCCAAATAAATTTTTCTTCTTAGTATCTATATCATGACATGTAGCTTATAATTAAAGTATTTTCTTCCAAACACAGTAAAATAGTGCAGTACTGAAGCATATTAGATTAATTCAGAAGAATAAAATACTATATAGAATTTCATGGCCCTGTGTAAGTGTGGGAAGCATTGCTTCTATAATCAATTGTTTAATAGGATTATGGGTTGCAGACTAAATGGTCTTTAAAAATGTCTGTTCCTTGGGTGGGTGAACCTTGCCACTTCACCTGCAATTTTAGATCTTCTGATTTTCATTGGTGTCAGAGAAATCTTCTAAAAGCCTAGAAGCTTCCTGCCAGATTTAGTTAGCTGTTTAGTTCCTGTTAGCTCCTGTGATGACCCCAGTGTCTCCACTGCAGATTTACACAGCTCTTCAGCATCTCAGATACTTTATGTAAGCAGGGTACAAAAAAAAAGGACTTTTGCCACAAAGTCTTACTGTCTTAAATGTTGAGAGTTCTACTACTTGTGACCTGGTTTATATACAGGTAACTCATAATAAAAAAAAGTTGCTTAGTTTACGAAAGAGAAAAAACCCTCTGATTGAAGTCTTCTGTTGATTTTTGTTTCTTGAAATGCTCTAGAAGATGACTTGGAACTAAGATTAGTGCATCTTGTCACTGTTAGTGTGTGCCTCTTGGGTCTTTGGGATCCACATTCCTCTATACTGGTATAACACGTCTGTTGAGGATGCAGAAATAATAGTAGCTTATATGAATGGAAGAAATTTATTTGAAGCAGAAAAAAACCCACTCTTATTTGAGTGATTGTGAAAAAGAATTTTCCAAAAATTCAATAATGTTTGCTGAAAATGTATCGATAATAAAATACAGATCTTGTATAACTTCTTAAAAAGTGGCTTTGATATGGAAAACTGTTTAAAAAAGGTCAAATGAAATTTGTGATGCAAGTCTTTATTTTGGGAGGGCTTCTGAGCCCTTTGTGACTTCTGAGCAGGCTGTTCGGTGACTTGGTGACAATATGCCAAGTTGGGTATGAAAGCACAGTAGGGTAGAAGAGCCTGGTGCATTCTGAATGTAGGATACACTTTTGCTTGAGACTTCATATAGATTTTAGTTGAGAGCTGGGAGGATATCACAGTGTGAGGGAGGAGTGAAAGGGTGAAAGATATCAGTGTTCTTGATTTTTCTCTGCGGAAGACATCCTCTGAGCTTGATACCTGCTTTGATATGCTGCTAGTTCCTTGCATATGGCTAGATGTAAGACTTCTTTAACAACCAAAACTGTTACACAAAAATAATGTGAGTAGCAGTTTGGAATTTTTACTGTGTGCATATTATTCAATAGGTAATTGTTGCTTTGATGCAAGGTGGATTATAAGCTCCTAAACTCAGTGCTTTAATGCAGGCCTTATTTATTACTTGTTTCTCTGTAATTGAAATATGGGAATTTTACTGGTATCAGCTATATTATAGGCTGTGTACTGTAAGTGTTTAAAGGGTTTCTAAGAGTTAGAGGATGTGTTAAATATTCTGTGCTAACTTCAAACTGTTAGCATGGAAAATTTTTGTGATTTTTTTTTTCCTTTGGCATCCTTTACAAGATTCTTTGCTTTTTTCTCTAATAGTCTCAGCCTGCTGTTAGTGAGGAATACAGTGGAGTTCCATGTGCGGTGAATCTTGTCTTAAGATTAAGGTAAAAGATCCTTCTATTTATTTAGCTGTATTATCTTGATCTCCCTCATTACTTTCATAATATTAACATAAAATCAGTGCTGAAGTGTATAATCTCCCAGTATGACCAGTATGAATAGTGTCTCTGTGACTAATTGCTGTCTTTTAATTGCTTACTAACATAGTGTAAAATGAAAAGCAGAATATGAATGTGTCTTCAGGCTAAGTGTACCCTTCATTAAGTATTTTCTTTCTTTTTTTCCTTATAATGCAGAATCACAGTGAGAAGTTTTTAATGAGTTTCTTTCACACTTCAGCAGTCAGCCTCTGACAGAAATAAACCATAGCTGTATTACAAGTTGCCTACTCAAAATGTTTTTCACTGGCAAGTTTGATCAGCCACTGTGGAGAAGAGATGGGTATTTTAGAAAATGGATACAAATATGTTGTCTGACTTAAATTTTTAGTTAGTTGAAATTAGTCAGATTACCTTTAATTAAAATTAGTTTATAACTAAGGTTTGAATTGGTTAATTATG